TGCCCGGAGCCAATGTTGTGTTCAGAGGTGGGTGAGGCTCCGTGGGGGCTCTGTCCCCAGCTGTCCCCACCCCTTGGGGCTCAGCTGTCCCCAACTGTCCCCTCCCCAGGGCTCCTGGACAGCAATTGGAGCGTGGGGGGAGTCCTGGAGCGGCGTCTGCCCCCCCTGCCTGTCACCCTGGCTCTGGGGGCTTTCCTCAACCACTGGAAGAACAGGTTCCACTGCGGCTTCAGCGTCACCGTGGGCTGAGGGGACAGAGGGGACAGTGGGGACAGGGGGCATGTGGCACTTGTCCTGCTCAGGGAGCTGCTGGGCCAGGCCGTGGGGGTGGCACAGGGACAGGCAGCCAGGGGACACGGTGGCCTGGGGACATGGTGTGACAGTGTGGAGTGGCTCTGCTGGGGGTCCCTGTTGTCACCAGCGTCACCACCTGTAGGTGACTCCTGCTGGGGATTGGGGGGTCCCCATTGTCCTCACTGCCAGCACTTGGGGGTGACTCCTAGGGGTCCCCATTGTCCTCACTGCCACCACCTGTGTGTGGCTCTTGCTGGGGTTTGGGGGTCCCCAGTGCCAACCACTTGTGGGTGACTCCTGGGGGTCCCCATTGTCCTCACTGCCACCACCTGTGTGTGGCTCTTGCTGGGGTTTGGGGGTCCCCAGTGCCAACCACTTGTGGGTGACTCCTGGGGGTCCCCATTGTCCTCACTGCCACCACCTGTGTGTGGCTCTTGCTGGGGTTTGGGGGTCCCCAGTGCCAACCACTTGTGGGTGACTCCTGGGGGTCCCCATTGTCCTCACTGCCACCACCTGTGTGTGGCTCTTGCTGGGGTTTGGGGGTCCCCAGTGCCAACCACTTGTGGGTGACTCCTGGGGGTCCCCATTGTCCTCACTGCCACCACCTGTGTGTGGCTCTTGCTGGGGTTTGGGGGTCCCCAGTGCCAACCACTTGTGGGTGACTCCTGGGGGTCCCCATTGTCCCTGGTGGCACCACTTGTGGTGGCTCCTGGGGGTCTCCAGTGCCAACCACTTGTGGGTGACTCCTGGGGGTCCCCATTGTCCTCACTGCCACCACCTGTGTGTGGCTCCTGCTGGGGGTTGGGGGTCCCCATTGTCCCTGGTGGCACCACTTGTGGGTGACTTTGGGGGTCTCCCGTGCCAACCACTTGTGGGTGACTCCTGGGGGTCCCCATTGTCCCCACTGCCACTTGTGAGTGGCTCCTGCGGGGGGCTGAGGGTCCCCAGTGTCACCAG